GAAACTTACAGATCATATCCTAGAATCTAACTTTATTAGCCAAGTAAGGGTCTTCGACAGTGGAGACACAGCTTGTTTTCCAGTGTAAACCAAGACATTGTTTTGATATTTCTTCATTAAAGTTATACATCTATTAGTAGATTGGTACACTTTGACATTTAGGTTTTAAGCCTTGCTTACATAAACATTAATTTTTTTTTCAAAAATTAACCATTAAGCCCCATGTTTACATGATCTAAAATGATCATAATAATGAATTATTGGACATTAAACTCTGTGGTTTGAGTGCAATTGAAAGGGAAGGATGAGAAAAGCTAACGAGGCTGGACTTGAACCTCCGTTTATCAGCTGAAATGATGGCACCATTTTACAAAAAAAAAAATGCTTTTAACTTTTTCTCTGGACTAAATTAAAACAAAAATTGACCGAACTGAAACATTAATCAAAAGAAAGTATATTGATGTCTATTGTTTTAAGTTAATACTTGTATTTAATCCCTCTCTAAAAAGTCCCTCATATAAAAGGCTACATTACAATGAAATCAGATTTTTTTTTTACTAAATATTAATTTAAGACCAGAGAGGACATATCTTTTAGCTTGTTTATGTATCTGCCTGTTAGTTTACAGACATTTACTCCCAGCCTTGCTGCATAGTTTGACAACAGTATAATTAGGACTCTTTACAGTCTGTTCCTGCTTTCAGTTTTGTGTGCCATCTTATTAAATGTAGCCAGATTAGGGCCAATTCTCCATTAGCTGCCCTTGATACTGGCTACATAAGTTTTGGTCAATATTTAACTTATGATTTGATAATTGGTAAAGGATCAGAGAGTAAAAGGGCAGGGCTTTAGTAGGGCCACCGGGACAGCTAAGGACCAGGAGGATTTAAAACAAAGTAGTTTTTCTTCCCCTTTTTTTTCATTTGAACAGTATTTTTGAGGCTTCTGTAGAAAACCCTTAAATATCAAGCAAAGTGTTTTAAATTAATTGTAAATCATGAAGCAATGAAGACATTACTTAGCCTCACCAACCAACTATCAACCCGAGAACATGAAAACAGCAAAACCTGTCAGGCCCAAATAAAAAAGTAGTTTTATCTGTAACTGACAGTTTACATCAGTCTAATGTATTTTTATGGGTTGGGGCCAGGACTGGCTCCAGCCCATGGGGCCTCATATCTGCCTAAATCAGCTCCAGACTGCACTGTGACACGTGGGTCAATCTGTGACTTTCACAAGACCAAACATTTTTGTCCACATTCTTTTCCCTCCCCGAGGAATTGCTGCAAAGCCCATGAAACAAAGGCAGGATTCACAAAACAGACTCTTAGATGTTCTGCCAGAGTATTAATTGCTTAAAATTGCCTTTCAGATGATGCTGGGGACAAAGGGAGCCAGGCTTTGTGGACGTTCCAGTGTTGTTTCAGGCCTCAGAGGGGGGAAGCCGCAAGACAGACCAACAGCAAAGCTTCAAACTGTAGACAAAAAGGTAGCCACAACATCACCCATACCTCAGTCAGAACACATTGGGGTCCAGCATTAATATAATCAAAGGATGTTTTATTTCCGATCTGCTTTAAGTCCACTTACACCATTTTGAGGGGTTTTTTTGTTGTTGTTTTTTTTACCCTAAGCTTCCAGAAATACAGGGGCTTGCAAAAGTTTGCACATCCATTAACTTTAGAATATTTCACGACAAACCTCACTAATTTTTGGTATTTATGTCATATTCAAGAAAAAAGAGCATATGATTGTGAATTGGAATAAAAAGTGTGCTTTAAGAATAATTACCAAAAGGTGTACCGTACATGTATACCCATCTCCATCCACTCCTAGTGATAAGTCCAGCAACACAGATGCGTCTGTGCATGAGTCGAGCCCTTAGAGCAAAACACTGTATCAGTGCGCGTGTTGTTTCAAGGAAGTCATGTGACCGATACAGTAGTTGTTTCTAAACTGTGTTTAAAAACGTATCTGTCAACATGATGCATCTGCTAAAAAAATGGTCTCATCTTTTGCCGTTACGTTTTGATTCTGATTTTCTCGTTGTCATACCTTTCCTCTCAGTTATAGCTCCACTTATCTGAATTAAACTTAATTTCAAAGTGACTCATAGTTTATTTAGTGTTTTTACTCTACTTATTGTTTTAAAAATATTATTTAAAATCTTAGTCCACAAGCATCCGCATTCACATTTTCCCCTAAATCTTCATGTTATGATATATGTTCAGGTTATATCTAAAAATATAAAAGATGTTTTAACTTTAGCCATAGATATGAAATAATACAATATAACCTACAATAACTTCAATAATATGATTGTACTAGGTCATCAAATCAATTCAGTTTAGTCTATGAAATAAGCTGCCTGTAGTGTCTTTAAAGGTCCAGCAGATGTCCGTGTTCTGAGACAGCATCAACATACAGTTTGGCCTTCAAGATGCCCCATTAACCCATCACTACCCACTCCACTATTTGTGGAAAAATGTTTCGCTGTGGTTACAGCTACAAGTCTTTAGTCATGCTCTAGTGTAACCCACCTAGACTAAAGTTAGTGTATATTGTCATTTAGTGTTAGTTTATTTGACTGGACAGTTGTGAAACACTATCAAGCTTTGATATAAACAAGCTGGTAGCAGTTCTGGCTGTTTATCGGCGAGTTATCGGCTGTTGGTAGGTGAACCCTGCCCCAGACTCAATGCCTTTGTCACGATGTGGCTATGGTTAGTCGACCCAAAAGCAGAGGCAGGGAGGCAGAGGTGAATCTCTTGTGGATTTAATAATGACTTAACAAAAAACAGAGGCAGGTTATCCAAAAATCCAAAAGGAAAACAAAGTCCAAACAAACATGAAACCAGGAGTCCAAAAATCAAATACATGAAAACTAGTCTAAACATACCAGAAACCATGGAGACATCAGGGGAATCACAATCATAAGGAGTAGTGATGTTATGAGATGAGCCGAGGCTTCGAGGCGTGTGTCGAGTAATGGAGGGGGCGTTTCCCCGAAGCGCGTGTCGAG